TATGCTCCTACCATTTATCAAACTGCAAATAAGTCACAGGAAAAACTAAACTATTACTTGTTATTATTAAGCTGCAAAAGTGAAGAAACTGCGGCACGTCAAAAACGAAGCTAAAAACAGTGGAGGGGGGGGGATCGACCACCCCGCACCACTGCCAGCTGTGGTGCAAATTAAGTTTAGTTTTAGAGATTAATATTTTTTGCTTTTTGTTTGTGAAACAAGGTCAGAAGGAAGCTGGTTCTGGTTTGGTTGATTGGACCCGGTGTTGCACCATATTCTGTGACCTGCAACAGTGCATGCAACACCGCCCCCTACGGTCACAATATATGGTGGTCACAGAATATGGTATAACACCGGTTCGCAACGAGCTCCAAACAGTCAGGAAGTTGATTCATTTTCTGTTTCCTTACAGTAGTTGAACCAGAAGATTCATCTTTAGTGAAATATTTCCAGACTATTGATGCATTTCTACCTGTTTGCCAAGACTGGGCCTGCTCCACTCCGTCTGTCTGCTTGGAGGAATCCATTTTGTAACCACGCCCTGTGCGGATCACGCGACACGTGGCGCAATGACGTAACGGCGACGTAATGACATCACTACGAATACTCGACGTGAAATTAAACAAATCAATACATGTCCTTGGAATCTATGTGTAGATTATTTGAATAGTCTGTTAAAGCCCTACCAGGAACAGAAGGCACAGACTCAACTGCTGAATCAATGGGTTAGACAAACCAATTTTACCATTGAGGCATTAGAGGCCGAAGAAGAGCACATCCAACAAAAACTAACAACAGGCCTAGATCAGACCACACTTCAGCAAGTGATAGACTTCACAGATAAGGCATGCCTAGCACAATATTTCCAGTCCAAGACCCGACAACAAAATAATGTAACTTTAACTTACTAATAACTCATCAACCCCATCCCAATTCCAATAACAACACATTCAGTGGACGGCAACACTCCAGTAGACAGTCACACCAGGGAGAAAGAAAAGTGGGTGAAGAATTTATCTGACAGACAGCTCACCCAGCCGGAGACAGAGATTCTTGCCAGGGGACTGAACTTTGCAGTTGCACCAAGTAGAATTCCTCTGGTGGAGATGATCACAGCTACTGAGTCAGCCATCCGCAACAACAAAATTAAGGATTATGAGGCAGAACAACTCAGAATCAAAGTTTCATCCTGCCTCAGCAATGCCAAACCACCACCTTCCAACATCAGTAGAGAGGAGAGGGATGCACTCACCACTCTTAGCAAGGACAAAAACATCATCATTCTCCCAGCAGACAAAGGAAGGTGCACAGTGATTTTGAACCAGAAAGACTATAATGAGAAAGTTATGACACTCCTTAGTGACTTAACCACTTATGAACCTCTGAAAAGAGATCCAGGAAGTGGCTACAAGAAGAAGTTAATAGATTTCCTGAAAGTTTTGGAGCAGGACAAGGCTATTGACCGTATTCTGTACCACAGACTGTACCCAGGGGAGGCCACACCTAGTCTGTATGGTTTACCTAAAATCCACAAACAAGGTGTACCTTTAAGACCAATTGTTAGCATGATTAACTCTGTCACTTACAATGTTTCCAAATATCTGGCGTCTGTACTCATCCCTTTAGTTGGCAGCTCAGAACACCACATACAGAACACCATGGACTTTGTGGATAAGGTGAGGGATGTCATCATGGAGACTGATGAAACAATGGTCTCTTTTGATGTCACATCACTTTACGTGCATTCCTGTTGATGATGCAGTAGAGGTGGTCAGTTTAAAATTAAAATCAGACACCACTCTGAGCAGCAGGACCACGCTTTCCACAGAACAACTGTGTCAACTCTTGAAACTGTGCCTGCAGTCAACCTACTTCACATATGGGGAGCAATATTATAGGCAGAAACATGGGTGTGCTATGGGGTCTCCAGTTTCTCCTATTGTTGCCAACCTGTACATGGAGGAGGTGGAAAAGAGAGCCTTGACGTCCTTTTCAGGGACACCACCAAGTCATTGGTTCAGGTATGATGATGACACCTGGGTTAAAATTAAATCTCAGGAAGTCCAACATTTTACTGACCACATCAACTCTGTGGATAAATACATCAAGTTCACACAAGAAGATGAAAAAAATGGCAGGTTGGCTTTCTTGGACTGTGAGGTCGGAGTCTCTGATAGAGGACATTTGCAAACTGAGGTGTACCGCAAACCCACCCACACAGACCAGTATTTGCAGTTTGACTCCCATCACCCTTTGGAGCACAAGTTAGGAGTCATCAGGACTCTGTATCACAGAGCAGACAGCGTCCCCACTAACTCGGGAGCCAGGCAGAAGGAGAAATCCCACACAAGACAGGCTCTAGAGCAATGTGGATATCCTAACTGGGCCTTCCAGAAAGCAGAGAAGAAACCCAAACAGGACTCCAGTCAGCCATCAGGTGAAAAGGAGGAACCCAGACCCAGACCAGTGGTCATTCCGTATGTTGAGGGAGTATCAGAGAAACTGAGACGTTTATTTTCTAAACATAACGTCCCAGTGGCTTTTAAACCCCAAAATACATTACGGCAAAGACTGGTTCATCCCAAAGATCCAGACCCCCGGCACAAACAGAGTAATATTTTGTATGCCTGGATAAATAAAGGCTAAATGAAATGAAAATGCTGTTCAGTGTCAGGAGGGTGATCAGTCTTATATCGAGGAAACAAAACAGCCACTGGCCAAAAGGATGGCCCAGCACAGAAGATCAACATCATCAGGCCAGGACTCTGCGGTCTACACTCATCTCCAGGCCAGCGGTCACTCTTTCAGGGATGAAGATGTTCACATCCTGGACAGAGAGGAACGATGGTTTGAGAGAGGAGTAAAAAAGGCCATCTTTGTGAAAAGAAATCGTCCATCATTAAACAGGGGTGGAGGCCTCCAGGTTCAACTGTCCCCCTCTTACAATGCTGTGATTGCTAGTATCACTCAACCCCCTGTGAACAGTAAACAGCCATCAGTGTGCTAATGATCCATTGTTAGGCTGATGGTCCTTCTTGAGCATGTGAGCAGCTGGTTTTGGTTGTCAGCAGCAAAACTGGTTGGTCCACTTTGAGAAGGTGCTATTTAAGAGACTGAGCTGAATACAGCACCTCAGACTGAGGAAGTCTCTCGGATGAGAGACGAAACGTTTCTACATTTTTGTTGTTTTGCTTTGTTTTTGTTTTTTTTGAATGTCCAGAGGACCAGATTGAATTTTTTTAGAAGCCTAATACTTGATTTGTTTTTTTATTTTAAAACTGTCTGGATCTAGTAGTGGAATTTTCTTAATTGAGATTATTTTGTGGTATAGCAGTTGTCAAAATAAATGATAGGAAAAGGACACCCTATGCTTTTTTTATTCGTATTGCAAATTTTATATCAAAAACATATTGTGATATATATCATAATCGCCACCCTTCACAATACATATCGTGATATGAATTTTGTGCCATATCGCACATCCCTACTCTGTATCAGTCAGTTTTGGTGAAGAGGGAGCTGAGCTATAAAGCAAAGCTCTATGTTTACCAGATGATCAACATTCCTACCCTCACCTATGGTCACAAACTCTAGGTAGTGACCGAAAGAAGGAGATCACGGATACAGACAGTTGAAATGAGTTTCCTCCGCAGGGTAGCTAGAGTCTCCCTTAGAGAAAGGGTGAGAAGTTCAGTTATCCAGGAGTGACTCGAGTGTAGAACTGCTACGCAGCTGTGGCCGAGTGGTTAGAGCAGTCGTCCTCCAATGCGAAAGTTGGGGGTTCGAATCCAACAGCTGTCACATGCCGAAGTGTCCCTGGGCAAGACACTGAACCCCTCGTTGCCTCTGATGTGTGTCCCATCGGTGTATGAATGTGATCTAAAGCTCTGATTAGTCTCTTTAGAATGATTTGTTCAATTAGCTTTGTAGAGATCTAGTAGAGTGCTGTATAAATGGGTAAATGAGGACACAGATTGTAGTGTAAAGCGCTTTGAGTATCTTGATAAGATAGAAAGGCGCTATATAAGTACAGTCCATTTACTCCTCCCCATCGACAGGAGCCAGTTGAGGTGGTTCGGGCATCTGGTAAGGATGCTCCCATGGCGCCTCCCTAGGGAGGTACTTCAGGCATGTCTGACTGGGAGGAGACCCTGGGGAAGACCCAGGACACGCTGGACATACTATGTCTCTCGGTTGGCCTGGGAATGCCTTGGAATCCTCCCAGAAGAGCTGGAAAAGGTGGCTATGGAAAGAGATGTCTGGGCCTCCATGCTCAAGCTGCTGCCCCTGCGACCCGACTTCGGAACAAATGGAAGATAATGGATGGATGGAACCATGGTGCTGAACTCAGCTGTATTCATTGTGCATGCAGCGTCTACATGATCACAGTTACGTCCAAACTGATGAATACATTAACGTCTCTTTGAACCCTGGATTTTATTAGTTTTGCTCCTACATGCTGAAAAAGGGTGAGTAGCACAAAAATACTCTACTCTCTGCTATTTATTATAACTGTTGTTAGTGCAGAAAAACTTTGGGACTTCAGCCGCTATAGTGCACATGTGCCACTTCACACTTGGAACATTTCACACCTCCGTGGGGGAATGCCCTGAAAATCTCCACTCTGAGACCTGGATTCTCAGAAAGAATCAGGGCTGCTGTTGTGTAAATGAATGGCCGAACGTTTCACGTCATGTAAACGGGGCCTCAGACTGGATGCCCTGTATGTCAATCAAGTTACAAATTTCATAGTGAGGATGGATGATAGGCTGACATCTGTTTTTTTAATGCCATGCCATCTAACCCTAATACCTTTGCGATCGACCGGTAGATTGCGGTCGAACGGTAGATTGCAATCGACATATTGGGCAACTCTGATCTAAAGAATGCTAGGCCATTAATTCAAGTGTATATTTGGCTTTTTAGGATGTTTAGCATCAAATATTTCAGTAGTTTTCACTTCTATCCAATGATAAGGAGTACAACAAATGAAGTCTTACCAAACATTGAGCAGGTTTGAATGTAAATGCAAGCTGTGAGGAAAACGAAGAGCATTAGTTGTCCAGTACGGCGTCACCACATGCTGTTCAAGCCAGGCTCGGGCGTCAGGTTCGCCCACTGGAAAGAGAAGTTGAAATATGGCTGTAAGGCATCACATCAGTACACATCTTACTGCTTTGGTCTCATTGTTCCAAAACCTTAAACATCCACACTTTCCATGATTGTTTTGTTTTGCTGTGAAACTATTAACACCTGTCCATGCCACTGGAACTGTCTTGCTGGCATTGTCCTGGTCCTCCTGGGGGGTTCTGTCCAACTGAATCCCAGAGTCCTCCCTACTGATTGGCTGCTGACTGTCATCATCCTCGCTCTCATTGTCAGACCAATCCTACAAAGCAACCAGTTTACAATGAAACTCATCTAAATGAAATAATGGCTTTTACGGCAATTAAACTGCATGTGCGTTAAAAGTATATTTATGATGATTCCTCACGGGGGTATCTGGATATGGTCCGGTGTCAATGTCCTCACCCTCCATCAGGTATTTCGCCCAGTCAAAGTGGTCCTCCAGTTCTGCACAGACAACAGTTAAAATTATTGCTACAAGTTTGTGGTAATTTGAAAACAATATCTCACAAATGAAACAATATCTCACCAGCCTCCTTTACCCTGGGTCTCTCTGTAAAGTTTGTGTTTGAGGGAGAATCTGAGAGGAAGAGCAGCAGTGACAGTATGCTGTAGTGAGGATCTGTCTAGAAAGGAAAATAAGAAACTGAGAAATCAGAATATACAGTAATATGTCCTAATGCATGCTCAATAACCCAGGTAGAAAAATCTAACAAGGTAGAATCAGGTCCTCTGGATGGATTCTTTGATGTTGAAACGTTTAGTCTTTTATCCAAAAGGCTTCTTCACTGTTCAGTTGATTAAGTTCTTCAGTTTTTCACTTTTGCATGTGAACAGGTAGTTCAGGCTGTCATCAGCAAACTGGTTGACCAGTTTGAATATGAAAAGGATGTTATAAGACTGAGTTTGTTGCAGCTACTCAGACTGATTAAGTCTTTTGGATAAAAGAAGAAATGCTTCAACAAAGAGGAACCTGTCCAGAGGACCTGACTCAACCTTGTTAGATGATGACATAGTTTACTACAGTGCAGCTACCTGTCCTGTCCTAAATTGTGAAGCCAGTTTTAGATTTAGAGATTTGAGATTTAAAATTTCAGTTACAGATTTGATCAGATCCTCTAAAACAACAATCAATATTTGTTTAAAGAGTTAGATTGGACTTCTACGCACTTCTCACTGTACATGTTTAGAATGTTTAGGGCAAAATAATAAAAGTAGTATCACAATATGCCACTGTCCTGCCTCAGTGATAAGCTTCTTAGCACAATTTGGTCAATCTAAATGGGCTAATCATGGGTCAGTTCTCTTTTTTAGCAGCTTGTTCATTGTTGAACGTTTGCTTTTTGCTATCCAGCATACTGCCAGTGTGCAAAAATAAGCACTTCATTCACAAACTTGATTGTCCCTATGAACTTAAGGAATGGCCTTCTCTAAGCCCTGACTTCAGCCAAATTGAAAATTTGTGGATTGTGCTTAAAAGTTAGAGTTTTGAACGCACTATATAACAACATGCATCAACACCTTATTTGAGTGGGAGGAGGGAGGAGTTGGGTCTTCCGGTTTTCCTTAAACCCTCGTTCTCTGTTTGACATTTGGGGTCGAGGGCAGGGAGGGGGGGTAGGCTGCCTGGTTGGGGTCTGGGCTGTGGGTGGGTGTTGGGCCTTGGGGGGTGATTGGGGGTGGGGTCGGTGCTCCGGTTCTCCCTGGGTTGTTTGGATCTTTTGATCAGGGTTCCTGGTTGCGGTGGCCGACCCTTTGGCTGGGATGGCTGCCGGGTTCTGGTGGAGGGTCGGCTGTGGTTGTGCGTGTGTGGTCGTTGGTGGTGCATGGCGGTGGTGGGGGGCATGGCTTCACTTTGACGGGGTGCTGGCTGGTCGGCCTGATGAGACATTCGCGGTGGGGGGTGCTGTGTGTGTGTGGGGTGCTGTGTGTGTGTGGGGGGGGGGGGGGCATGGGTGGCATGCCGGGGCCTCTCCGGGTCTGTGGTGTGGGGCTGTAAGGAAGAATTGGTGCGCTGGGCCAGCCTTCCTTGGCTGTTGTTCCCTGCTGCTCTGGTCCCCGGCCTGGGGCCGGCTTGCGGTTGCTGTCGGGTTGGTGGGGCACAGAGACGGCCCAACATCTCTGTGTGCCTGTTTATGTCTCAGGTTGGGTTTTGGGTGGTCCCCTCTCGGATCAATTTTGCCCCCCCCCCCCCCAATTTGGTGTGTTGTACTCCCCTCTGGTGGTGGGCCCCCATGCCGCCGGTGCATTGGCAGCTCTCAGCATCAGGGGCTGGGTGGTGGGGTGTGTGCGGGCCCGCCCTGGTGGCTGCCTGCGGGGGCCTGGGTGCCCTGGCTCTGCTGGGCCTCTGTTCGGGGTGGTATGACCTCGGGACTCGGGGCTCGGTGTCCATGGCCGGATCTACTCTGGAGGGGCAGGTTGCCGGCGGGGCCTGGGGACTCGTTGCTCCAGCCTCCTGGGGGTTTCTGCATTGTGGTTGCTGGGGATCGCCCGGGACTTCCCTTTGCTTCTCTCTCTGGGGGGTGGGGGTGTCCCTGTTGGGGGACTCCTGGAGTTCCGGGCTTGGGGGCCGCTGTGTGTCTGTGGCTCTGGTCTTCCCTGTGTTACCTTCGTGTCCTGTGGGGACGGGTTTATGGGTCCCCACATCCACTATTGAACATTGTTATGGAGAAACCTTATAGTGATAAGCATGCTCACACAGGTGTTTAGATCCAGGTGTTTGTCAGATACACACTCAGTTTGGTTGTGGTGGCCATCAAATATACATTGTATTACCATGTACTGTATAAAATACTTTCTAATGATGTTATAAGTATCATTATATATGCTGTTTGTTGTTGTGGTTTCTCGGTTTTGTCTTGTTTTTTCCCCGCAGGTCTAGAGGCAGACTTCAATGATGTCTGTCTGTCTGTCTGTCTGTCTCTGTGTCTGTGTCTGTGTCTGTGTCTGTGTCTGTGTCTGTGTCTGTGTCTCTCTCTCTCTCTCTCTCTCTCTCTCTCTCTCTCTCTCTCTCTCTCTCTCTCTCTCTCTCTCTCTCTCTCTCTCTCTCTCTCGAATCATGAATCTCTAACTAGAATAATCACTGTGAAAAACCATATCATGTTGCTGCTGATCTGTTTCATGTTGCTGCTGATCTGTTTCAATGTTGATGTGTTCATGCGTGCACAGATGAGCACAAACATGAACATGAGTCTGTGAGCAGATGCTCACAGACTCATGTTCATGTTTGTGCTAATGTTCAATGTTTTATGTTATGAGTGCTTAGTGTATATTTAGTTGATGTTTTTCTTAGTTCATATCTTAGATGTTATTACTGTTTTTCTTATACATTTTATTGTTGGATGTAACTGGGACCCTGTGTACATAATTTCGCTCCACCACATGTACCACATGAGGTGCGAATGACAATAAAGAAACTCTGACTCTGATCTGAAACAAACCCAAAGCAATTTCTAATAAAATTTAATTTATATATTAAGCAGAGCATTAAGGCCAGCCATAATGCTCTGCTTGTGAAAGTAAATCTGTTGGGCATCACTTTGACACAATAATTCTAAGTGTCACAATGCCGGACAGGACAAGGGGGGAAGAAAAGTTTGAGCCAATTCTGCGAAAAAGAGTGGTCAAGTATCCAGCCAGAATTATGACGAGAATTTGTTGATGAAAACAAAGAGTTTTGTCAAGTTGCAACTTGATAAGGGGCATTTAAACAAATATCAGTGGGGATTAGAAAAATCCACAAAAAATTCAAAGGAGTGAGCACAACTCTTCTAATTATAAAACATTGAGAGTTCATTACATTCATTCTGGGTTACATTAGTACATGTACTGACACCGTCTCCACTATCAGAAATGTTAAAAGCTACCCAAACAGAAAACCTTGGCTGAATGCAGAGGTGCGTACCCTGCTGGAAGCCAGGAACACTGCCTTCAGGTCTGGAAACTCAGAGGAGCTGAGTAGGACAAGGAAAGAGCTGGTTGCTGGTATTAAGAAGGCCAAGGCCACATATGCAAAGAGGATCGAGGGTTAATTCATCTCACAAGACCCTCGGAGCATGTGGAGGGGCATTAAGTGCATAACAGATTATAAAGGAAGGAGCGAACAATGCCCCAAAGACCCATCTCTGCCTGATGCCCTCAACAAGTTCTATGCATGCTTTGAAGACCCGAACAGACCACCCAGCACCAGACTCACCTCACCACCGGATGAAGAGCATCTCAGCGTGACCTCAGCAGAAGTAAGGAGTACCTTCAGGAGGATTAATCCGCACAAAGCAACTGGCCCAGACAACATCCCCGGAAAAGTGTTGAAGGAATGTGCTGATCAGCTCTGTGAGGTGCTGGCAGACATCTTTAACACCTCACTTACCCTGGAGACAGTTCCCACCTGCCTGAAGACTGCCACCATCATCCCAGTCCCAAAAAGCTCTACAGTGACTGGTCTGAATGACTATCGGCCAGTGGCCCTCACCCCGATAGTCGCTAAATGCTTCGAAAAACTGGTCATGACTCACATCAAAACAACCATCAACATCAACGAGGACCCTCATCAGTACGCATACCGTGAGAACCGATCAACAGAGGATGCAATCTCCTCTGTGGTCCACACTGCGCTCAACCACCTGGAGCAGAAAAACTCTTACGTCCGTATGCTCTTTGTGGACTTCACATCCGCCTTCAACACCATGATCCCCCAAACCCTGATGGACAAACTATCCACACTAGGACTAAGCCCCTCCATCTGCAACTGGGTACTAGACTTTTTAACAAACAGACCACAGTTAGTGAGGATCCACAACCTCTCCTCCTCCACCATAACCCTCAGCACTGGCTCTCCTCAGGGATGTGTGTTGAGCCCCCTTCTGTTTACTCTGCTCACATATGATTGTGCAGCTACCCATCCAGGCTGTCACATTGTAAAGTTTGCAGATGATACAGCGGTGGTGGGATGCATCACAAACAATGATGAGTCCAGCTACAGGCAAGAGGTGGAACACCTGGAGAGCTGGTGCAGAGAGAATAACCTTCACATCAATGTGAAGAAGACAAAGGAGATGATTGTGGACTTCAGAAGGAACAAAAACACCTACACCCCCCTGAACATAAGAGGATCTGCGGTGGAAGTGGTCTCCAGCTACAAGTACTTGGGTGTACACATGAATGACAACCTCAGCTGGAGCAACAACACCACCAGCCTGATCAAGAAAGCTCATCAGAGACTCTACTTCCTCAGACGGCTGAGGCGAGCTGGTCTGGGAAGCTCAGTCCTCACCTCCTTCTACAGGTGTGCAGTGGAGAGCATCCTGTGCTCCAGCATCAACGTGTGGCATGGAGG